AGTCATATGAATATTTCATGCAGCAATATATTACCAATTTTTACTTTCCTGCTTACAAATTTAACATACCTTAAGTATATGTTATAAATAATAGTAGAAAAATAGATAAAAGAAGAAAGGAATAATCTCAATAATTCCACCTCCTTGAGTGAATCCCTGTTGATATTTTGACATATTTCCTTTCCGTCTTGCATATATTTATAGCAAGTTAGATCTCTTTGTATGATTTTGAATTTACTGTTTTTAATTCCATTTCTTACCAGAGACATTTCCTTGAACCAATGAAAACTCTTTTTAAGCATTATTTTTAATGACTGCATAATATTTTACAGTTAATATATTTTACATAGTATCATTTATTTCAATATTTTCTCTGTGCTAGATTAAACTATTTCTTTTGGGGGAGTAGTCATTATAAATAATTATGCAGCTAATAACTTCTTGTATAAATATTTATTCTCATTTCTGATTATTCCCTTGTCAAAGAGGAAAAACATTTTTAAGCTATTTGATTCATATGGCTAAATCCTAAATGATTTTATAGATGCAGACTTTTTAGGGAAAGTATGAAATATATATAAACAAGTATAAGCTTGTAATATCTATTAGTTTTAGACTGTCATTGTACATATTGTAGTGAATAGAGAGTTTTGAAACTTGCAGCTAACCTATAGGTTTTGAGTTGGTAAAAGTAACATGAAGGTGAAGATTATTTTATATCAGCAAATAATAACAAAAATAAAAATACTCAATAAGGACAAAGTCAAAAAGATTTGAAATATCTTCACTGAATGCAATCAAAGGAGTTGTCCAGTGGACACCCTGTGTTCTATGTTCTTCTGCCTGAGCCTAATCGCTAATTGACTTGGACATGCCAATATTTTTCTTTAAATGAAAGTATTATGTATTTCATTATGTAATATTTTCAAAGTAAAAACTAGTGGAAGAAAGGGGAAAAAATCACCCAAAATAATAATTACCATTTTGGCATATTTTTTTAAGTATTTAATTTTATTTTGTACTTTATATCTTTTCTTTAGCATAAAACATAAATTTTCTCATGCTATTAATTTTTTAAATATTATTTTTGAGTGGAATGAATAATATTTCAGTGTCATATATCATACATCAGCATTTATATAACCATTATATGGGACATTTAGGTAATTTTCAAATACTATAATCTTTATATTAAAATAAAGCTGCATCTCCATGTGTAAAACTCTTTCCATATTTTAGTTGATTTCCTCAGTATAGATTTCCAGACATAGGGACATTACGTCAAAAGATGTATGTTTTAAGGTTCTTGATATCTTTAAGCAGGCTAATTTTTTCATATTTTCCTTGTGAAAGAAATAAGAGTCTTGGTCTTGAATTATGGATAAAAAATCTCAGAAAGGAAGGTAAATGCACTATATATATGAAAGCAAGTCAACTAATGTAAGAACTGAGACAGAAATGTGTATACAGGTTTTTGGCCTCACATACATCCTGAACTCTCTTTATATATATTCTAAATCAGTCTGTCTGAGGTCACCCATGTGGGGCAAAACTCAGGGTGGGTTTCTCTGCTCTGTGAGAACAAGTTTGTTGCAAGATTACTTTAATCATGAATCATGGATAGTTCATGAACCACACATAGTTCATGAAATATGGCAAAGGAGGGAAATAATGAGCTATGTATGAATAAGGGAAAATATACTTTATTAATGAAACCACACAGAGAGAGAGAGAGAGAGAGAGAGAGAGAGATTAACATTTGTTATATATTTAGAGAAGTTATGATCCCTTAAGAATAGGCAAAGCACCAAAAATGGGCAAATGACATGAATGGCAAATAGAGTTTAAAAAACTGAGTAATGAATAAGACAAAGTATTTCACCTGTTTAAAATCAACAAAGTACAAAGAAAGTCAATAGTGGATATTTTTCACTTTGACCCAGTGATTTCACTTTTTATAACTTATATTAGGAAAATAAAAATTTGGAAAAGAAACAATTATTTAGCTGGTTACTCAGCATGGCATTATTTGTAAAAATGAGAAGACAGAAATTAATGAGAAAACAGCAATTGCAGAAGGTTTTATTAAATTAATTACAAATACCATAGGAAAATCTTTTCAAAGGAATTTAACTGAAAAATTTCAGTAATAGTGCCATAAACATAATTAGGTATCTATCTATCCAAAATATTAACAGTAATTATTCCAGGTGAAATTATTTGATAATTTTAAACACTTTTCTTAATAATTAGAATAATGTGATTTACCAGTTGAGAAACTATGAAAATAAGAGAAGTAGAATTTTTATTATAATTTTCTCTCTCCAATCATAAAACATGAGATAGCTGTTGGTGTTTGTCATAAATTGTTCTAGGAAATGTTTGTGAGATATTTCTTTAGTAAAGAATTATTAGAGTAATATTCCATGATAGAACCCCATAATCACTGTTATTTTGGTGGTGCACATACATCAGAAGTGGGAAGAATCTAGCTGCACAGATTTTGAAAAAAAATTTCCATTTAGACAATCTAAATCATAGAAGTCCCTCTTCCCACTTCACACTCACCTATCATATCCCAGCCCCCTAGGAACCAGCATCCCCAAAAGGTAAAGGGTCCCAAGTAGTGGCTTCATTCTTCTGTAGACAGAGCTAGAAAATCCTGGGCCTCTATTTCTGGTCAGTAACTCAATGTCTCTGAGAATGCATCAAGCAAGACCTTGGCTCACAGACAAGATAAGATAAGTCAGTCAATGGATGCCTCAGCAGAAACAATTGAGCAATTGCTTCATTAACTCCATCATGTCCTCAAACACATTTTTGAACCGTGGAAAACACTTTACCACTTTACATCTCATTTCTCCTCTAGAAGCCAATTTATACAAGCTCTTGATTCTACCAGACCCCAAAGTAAATTTCCTCAGCATTTATGTAACCCAATATGGGACAAATAAAGTCCCATCTGTGTTTCTAAGAATCCCTGTGGCCTGTGCTCAGGAGCCACTACTACTGCTTCTCCTTCCATGCAGGCCTGCTGGGCCCAGGAGATGGAGTGTCTTTTACTCTTATCATGGTGGGCATGGTCATTTATTCAGAATCCACTCCTTCTCACAATCTAAGGCTTGTTCAGGATCAAGTGCCTTCTCGTGTTCTGATGGACCACTTCTTGTGCAAACCCAGGTCTCTCCAGTTGTGAACAGTGAAAACAGTTTAAATTCCTTAGGTGATTTCCCCCACCTTTGTCTCACATAAAGGACTCTATTAGACACCACACTGTGTTTTCAGACATGCCTAAGTCTCAAACCAATGACCAGTAAAAGCCAAGTCAGTTTGCAGCTAAAGATCTACATGAGCAAGATCAACCTAAATACAGAACAGGTAGAGGATTTAAATGAAGTCCTTTGCCACCTAGAATCCCACTGTGCCCCAGAACTCAAGTGAAGAAAGGACTTCAAGAAAGTGAGAATTGTCGGGCTCCAAATTCCTCAATAGGACACCCATAGCACAAAAGTTAATAACTAGAATCAACAAATGGGACTTACTCAAACTAAGAAGTTTTTTCTCAGCAAAAGAAACAATAAGAGAGGTAAATAGAGAGCCTACATCCTGGGAACAAATCTTTACTCCTCACACTTCAGATAGAGCCCTAATATCCAGAGTATACAAAGAACTCAAAAAATTAGACAATAAGAGAACAAACAACCCAATCAACAAATGGGCCAAGGACCTGAACAGACACTTCTCAGAGGAGGACATACAATCAATCAACAAGTACATGAAAAAATGCTCACCATCTCTAGCAGTCAGAGAAATGCAAATCAAAACCACCCTAAGATACCATCTCACTCCAGTTAGATTGGCAGCCATTATGAAGTCAAACAACAACAAGTGCTGGCGAGGATGTGGGGAAAAGGGTACACTTGTACATTGCTGGTGGGACTGCAAATTGGTGCAGCCAATTTGGAAAGCAGTATGGAGATTTCTTGGAAAGCTGGGAATGGAGCCACCATTTGACCCAGCTATTCCCCTTCTCGGTCTATTCCCTAAAGACCTAAAAAGAGCATGCTACAGGGACACTGCTACATCTATGTTCATAGCAGCACAATTCACAATAGCTAGACTGTGGAACCAACCTAGATGCCCTTCAATGGATGAATGGATAAAAAAAATGTGGCATTTATACACAATGGAGTATTACTCTGCATTAAAAAATGACAAAATCATAGAATTTACAGGGAAATGGATGGCATTAGAGCAGATTATGCTAAGTGAAACTAGCCAATCCCTAAAAAACAAATGCCAAATGTCTTCTTTGATATAAGGAGAGTAACTAAGAACAGAGTAGGGTCGAAGAGCAGGAGAAGAAGATTAACATTAAACAGGGATGAGAGGTGGGAGGGAAAGGGAGAGAGAAGGGAAAATGCATGGAAATGGAAGGAGACCCTCAGAGTTATACAAAAGTACATACAAGAGGAAGTGAGGGGAAGGGGAAAAATAATATAAGGGGGACAAACGAATGTCAGTAGAGGGAGCAGAGAGAGAAGAGGGGAGGGGAGGGGAGGGGAGGGGTGGGGAGGGGAGGGGAGGGGGGATAGTAGAGGATAGGAAAGGCAGCAGAATACAACAGACACTAGTATGGCAATATGTAAATCAATGGATGTGTAACTGATGTGATTCTGCAATCTGTATATGGGGTAAAAATGGGAGCTCATAACCCACTTGAATCAAATTGTGAAATATGATATATCAAGAACTATGTAATGTTTTGAACAGCCAACAATAAAAAATTAAAAAAAAAAAAAAAAGTGAGAATTATTTGCGGGGTCAAATGCTAAAAAGTGGAGTCAGACAAAGTCCTAGAACTAACTCCATTAGGTGTCCTGGAGACCTTGATTAGAGCTATTTCAGTAAACACGCCACAGGGGCAAAAGCCTGACTGGAGCTGGTTACAGAAGGAAAGGGGAGTAAGAAGGTGAAGGCAGTAACTCTGAATAGCTTACCTAAGACCAAGCTCCCCAATGGAAGCTGCACTCTTCCGATCTTCCATCATCTTCTTAGGATATAGTTAATTCAGCAATCTCAAATTTAAACCTTGATGTTCTGAACAAGGAGTAAAATGCACTCCCCACAGCACCCTTCCCCTCATGAAGGCATCTGAGTGGTACTAATTCTGTAGCAAGGGTTTTAATGGAGCGTCAGTTCCACAGAAAGGAGTAGGACCTAAGTTTGAGGGTGCCTTCTTTTCATTTCCTGCTCATTAGAATAGGAACTCAAGATGGACTCGTGGCAGAAGGATGCATGGATAGTCTAAATAAAAGGCAAGGTTACCATAACACCTCCAACAAATGCCCTTCCATACAGTCATTATGAGACAAAGGAACAAAAATAAAAATACATGAAATGCACAGTCAAATAATACATATAAATGGTCAGCAGGAAACTGCAAATAATTTAAAAAATGTGTTGTGAGGACATTGGCATTACTACATGGGGTTTTTCCTAACAGCCACTGATAATTGGATTTTCCTCAATCCCCATGTCCAATTTCAGTGTAATATGTGGTCTCCTGCCAACCCCACTGGCCAAAGATTATCTTTCTATAACCTTATGGAATGTAAGCAGTAACCCAGAACACTGGGGCCAATGAACTGTAACCATGGGCTCCTCGCTAACAAGGGTGAATTATTATCACATCTTTCCTGGTGATTAGATTATTCCTTATCGTTGTGTTTTATAGCTTTCTAGTTAGTCATCTCAATACAATTTATTCACAATAATAGTGTTTTTTATTATTGCTGTTTTATAGTTCCTATAGCTATAAAATTTATTTTCAACTCTATTATTACAATATTCAACTACTAATGGAATTCTTGTTTTTATTTGATTGTGTTTTAAAGCCGTAACAATAAAATTTACTCCCAAAAATATTACTGCAAGTTTTATGCTCTTTAAACTACTTGATAGAATGCCTCTAAACACATGTGGTTCTTTAAGCCACACGAGAGAAAGCCTGCCAAAATATAAACATCATTCTAGGAAAAAAAAAAGGTGGGGGGGAAGAATTGGTCCCTATTGTGGTGAGACTGTGTTCTTTGATATCTAAGTAATGGACTGAAAGAAATGAAAGGACCTTAGAGATATTTAGAGGAAGATTAGATTCTAATTGGCAGAAATATTTATTTTTTCAAAAACAACTTCTTCCTAATATTTGCCAATTCCTACACATTTCCACTATCTTCATCCTCCCAAGTAATGTGCTCTCAAAATAATACCCCTGATTTCTCCAGACTCAAAGTTGCATGGCTGGTTGCCATATTAGTTGGAGAGAGGCTGCTATGAGATATTACCAAAGGCCAGGGTCATTTGGAAGGTAAACAACTTCAGGGACTTAAGAACTGGAAGGCACACAGCCAAATCAGTTCACTGCCTCTGCTGCTCCTTAGTTGCTGGCATTGACCCTGAACACAAGGACATTGCAATAAACCTCATCACCTGCTGCGTAGGTTTTATGCCTGGAACACTGAATCACAGGGTCTAAAACCTGAATTATAATCCATCTAGGAGAGCAAAGTACTAGTAGGATTCAAGCAAGAGGTATGTCAGACTAGCAGCAATTAAGGTATAATTAAGGGCTTCGTCTCTGATGATTGATCAACGGTTACAAGAAAGGATGAAGGCAGATTGGGTGGAGATACATACTGGTTGATGCTCAGAGATGGTGGTCTTTGTAGCAGAAGAGGCAAAATCTAGATTTGATTTCTGAGGCAGCACTAACAACAGGTTATGACAGAAGTTTTGACAGATTGCTGCTGTCATCTAAAGCAATACATGAGTGGATGAATGGATGGATGGAAAGATGCATGGATGAATCCACTTGATCTAGCCGCTCACATATTGTGTAGGCACTTAGATTGCTGTGACCATCTACTTCCCTTTGCCCAGCTGTGGTAGCTATGCAAGTGCACAATTTAGATCAATCTTCAAGATTAAAACTACTGCCCATCTCTGTCTGTAGGGGGTCTTCAGAATCTTACTAAGTATTCAAGCTGAGATTATGCACTACCTGAATACCCCCGATCAATGAATGAGCACAGAAGTGGTTCAAGGGCTCACCATTAGGAAAACTCTTCTGGGAGCTGCACCACGGTCTAGTGTCCTTAATACCTAATTTTTTGCCTTGTTTTGCTTTCTTTCCCTTTTATCTCTCACAAGGATTATATCCCCCTCACATCATCTCTTCCAATTGTACCTCTATCTTGGTATCTGTTTTTCAAATGATCCAACCAATACATCAGCCAGGCTCCAGGGCAATGGAAATAAATAAATACAATTCATATTGAGTCATAGTGATCTTTTTAGACCGTCTGGATAATTAGAAGCAGAAGCAAAAGTGAAGTTTGGAAATAACAAGGATAATCCTAGATGGCCAGGCCTTAGCAAGCTTTCAAAATACAGCCAGCAAGCTACCCCCAAATCACATGCTAGCTAAGGAACACACCAGACTAGCTAGCTAAGCAAAGAAAAGCAAAAAGAAAGGAACAGAAGGGAAGAAAATAAGAAAGAAAGTGTTTTCTATCTCACTGCCTTCTTGCCCTGTCTAATCTGTCCACAATGACTGTGTGGTGGGAAGAGTCCTCGATCTTTTTGTGAAGATAAACTTTGCTCCTACCCTGCGGTTAAAGTACCAGGATTGTCAGGAAAGGAAGAAGAAGACAGAAGGAGTGCATGCCCTCAAGTGCCAAGAGTGGAGGTGGGAAGATCAGGAGGCTGAGGAGATGCCAGAGGGGAGCCTGGCTTTTGCACAGAACCCCCAACAACCTGGCTGAGCATGGAGAAGGGATAGATCCGGATGACAGGAAGGGCAATAAGCTTGGGAAATAGCAATGGATGCATTTCCATCTCTTTCTCAGTTGAACAATATTTCATTTGGCATCAGCCACCAACTAGTTTCCAGAGAGAACACCTCTGATTCATCACTGGAGATCATCACTCAGGAAAACTTGATGAAGTTGGTTATCATTCTAGGGTCAGCTTGCATCCATCATTCAGATACTTAAAGGGAAGGCATCCCAATGAGAGCAGGATTCCTTCCCTTCTCTGTATTTTGTCCCAGGTTCATTGCCCCACACCTTCTCATTTTTATTGAATATATTAAGAAAGATTATTACATATTATGACATTCATTTTCAGAACCTCAGTGCTGAGATTAGATGGGATGAATGCAGAGCACTAGATTAGAAATCCAAAATGGGGGTTTGCATCCTAGTTCCACTTATCATCTATGTGATTTTAGGCAAACTTTACCTGTTTTTCTTTGTTTAAATAAACCAAACAAAAAAACCAATCTCTCTCTCTCTCTCTCTCTCTCTCTCTCTCTCTCTCTCTCTCTCTGTGTGTGTGTGTGTGTGTGTCTTGTGCCCCCATTCAGAGTTGCAGAGCATCTTAAATAAAATATGGGAAAACACTCTAAAAACTGTAAAACCATCAAGCTATATGGTGTAATTATCATTGACACTAATAACAATGATCTGTAACTAGATTATAGTTCTATACAGGGTTTCTCCAACATGAGTAACCACACAGTACAAAAGAGAAAAACCAAGTTCCCCAAACAGAAAATGTAGACCTGTTTTCTCTTTCACCATAAAAGATCTTATCGTAAAGTTCATCAGAGTATTTTCCCAAAAGGGGGAAGGGAGTGGATGGAGTTTCCCAGCTTTATATATATATATATATATATACATTGGAAAAAATATATTTCTGAAATGCAGCATGTGTTTGAAATGAGCTATATCTTAGCTACTAAAATCAGCTATATATAATCTACTTCATTCTAGCTCTGTTTATAAAGTAATAACACTTTCCAGCATAATTGACTTTTTCTATAAAAATATCCCTAATCTAATGTAATTCATATATTCCTGTAAATTTACCCTATATCTCTAAAACGATTTCTATAAAAGGATAGAAATTAGACTCCTACATTATTTCATAAATTAAGAATTAATCTCATACACAGAAAAATAACTGCTACTAAAATTACTATGGGGTTTAATAAACCCAAATATATTCAAATGGTTCAACTCCACATTCATACACTGGGCCCAGCCAGATTTTACAAGATTCTTACTTGTTATTTCTATTCCTGGAAATACTTTCAGTGGAGGGGGAACATCATTTACTCTCAATTTCCCTAGCCCTGCTTGCTTCTACACATTTTCCTAACTCCCCAGAAGGGTACCCTGTAACTCTACTGGAAAGTCTTTTTTAACATTTAAAGTAAATGATGGATTTATAAATAAAGTTGATAGAATAATTACTATGTCCAAGACACTATACTTTGATATGCAAACCAACATTACACAGTAGGATTAATTATTTACCCCCAACTACAGAAAATGGAGTCACAGAAAGATCTTCACTGACATCTCTATCTGCTATAATCTGAATGTGTCCCCGCACCCCACACCTCAAATTCATATTTTGAAACATAATCTCCAGTGCAGTTAGGCTGGGAGGTAAGGCATCTGGGTGGGAGGATTGGGTCATGAGGACAGAACCCTATGAATGTGATTAGTGCGCATAAAGAGACAAAAAGGAGTGTGTTGCCTCTTTCGCCACCTAAGGACCCAGCAAGAGGGTATCATCTGTGAAATAGAATCAGCCCCCTCACCAGACAGAACTTGCAGGTGTCTGATCTTGGAGTCTCAGCCTCTGGAACCGTAAGCAATACATTTCTCTTTATGAATTACCCAGTTGAAGATAACCAGTCAAAACAGAATAAGATGCTAATACCTAAAATTTGGGATTGAAATGTGGGCCAGAAACCAGGAGCAGCAGCAGGATGAGGCACTGTCCACTCTTAGACCCCCAGGCCATTCCATTTCCTTACTTGGTATCTATCTGTTTGCTTACCATGGGTCCTGTCCCCTCCCGCTAGCACCTCCTTCACCCCCTAGTGGGTGTCTGGCTGCTCTTTCTGCTGTTCTTTCAGTTGGAGCTTTTTTCCTTGCGAGGGCAGAAGATCTCCCTCTGCCTTTCATCCTGGGT